CTAAGTTACTATCATAATACTTTCTATTTGGACATAGTTTTACTATTGCTACTTCTTATGGGCCTTATTAATGTTTTTGTTGTATTTTCTTGATAATAATTTCATTATTTGAATACTTTATTTGGATGAAGCAGTGAGAATAAGGAACTTTTTAGGTAACTTAACATGAATGCTTTATTTAGATGTTCATTTTTTTAAGAAGAAGAAGAAGAAACATCTAAACTTATAGACTCAAAACCGAAGATCCGAGATATTTAATCCGATTAATCCAAAATCGAACTTAGAAAATCCGTTCCAATCCGAGCCTTTTTGGATTGGATCTGGATAGTCATTTATTTAATCCGAAAACTAAATATCCAAACCGAAATTTTCATATTCAATCTGAACTGCCTGAACGCCCACCCCTATTGTTTTATCGATTAAATGTTTGAATCAAACTATTATTTGATTTAAAATGTGGTATTAAGACTCAATACTTAAAATGTTGCGGGTTAGAAATGTAATAATGGGATATGTAGACTTCGAATTTGCATGGACTTCAACCCTTCCAACAAGATCAGAAAAACAATATTAAGTACTTTATTATAGTAGAGCAAAAGACTTTACCAGAGACGTTACTCGTTATTTACGTCCCTTGTCTCTTTCGCTCTGGTGATAAACTAATAAATTATAACGAGTTAGGTTGTTTAGGTGATAGAAGCTTCTTAGTATGAAATAATCAGTTGACTCATGAATAAATAAAACATCAGTTTATAAAATTTTTAAAGGAGCTTAATATAGGTGTTATGTTATTTCTACAAAAATATCTTGTAGCTAAATACCTATTCTTTATGTGTGAAGGTTTTCTACATATTATTAGGGTAGGTATTTTATTAAGTTAAAAACAAAAATCGATTGAAGGCACAGCAACATAGAATTGGACCAAGTAAAATATAGAAGGGATATTGTTTCTATAAATACAGTTATTATCCTCTTTAACTGGATTTTTGGATTCAAGAAGTAGCGAGAGAATTTTTATTAAAAATATATACAATCCACGTACAACTTCATAAATTAATAAATATTCCAATTTAGAATCTATTGGTTACAAATAAAATAGACTGAGGCTTCTGCGAATCAACTTTTGGGCCAAGTTTAGGTCAGACAAATCTACTTTGAAATTGTAATGAATGGGCTTATTTAGAGCCCGTTTGGATTAGCTGATTTGAAGTAGCTGATAAGCATTAGGTACTGAAAAATACTTTTAAGTGTTGAAACTGATTTAACAAATACGCAGTTACGTGTTTGGATACACGTACTGAAATTGATAATAAACTGCTGCAGTATTTGATAAAAAAGTACCGATAAGCTCTTATTTCTGTTAATATGACTTGAGTAATCTTAGAACTATTTATACTTATAATGGCATAATTTTTTCAAAATTTTAGATTGCAGATCGATTCAAATACAAAATATTCTATTTGTCATTTTATTTTAAATACAACTGTGATTAGATAAGATAATTTTTATGATAAATATAATTTATTTTATGATAAGCATATAATCATAAGTTATAATAATTAATAAATTGACAAAAGTTTCTTAGTAAAAAAAATAAACCTAAATAGGATAAAATATTTGAAGAGAAACACTGTCTTCATCACCACAACACTTTGAAACAAATACACCAAAAATTTGATATGTCCTCGTTTATTACATACAGTTCAAAGATTAATACATAACCATATAGATACAAATATGCAAAGGAATAGAGAATTTACTTACCTCAAATAGTCAATGAGAATTGCAGACTTGAAGAGGCGGGGGTTTAGGTTGAAAAAATACGTGAGGCAGTGAGTATTGATGTAGGAGTTTTGTTTTGAAAAGGAATATTTTAGGGATAAAATAGTAAAAATCTTGGTCAAACTTAAAGTGTTTATAAGCTAAAAATTCATAAGTTGGGGGTGACCAACTTATGACTTTTGGCTTATTTTTGGCTTATAAGTACTTGGCTTATAAACACTTTTAACTTTACCAAATGCGTAAACAAAACAAAAAGTGCTTATAAGCTAATTTGACCAACTTATAAGCTTAGCCAAACACCCTATTTCTCTCTCACTGTGAAAAAACCAGTGTGGATAGTTTCCGTTTTTTTTAATTAAGGTTTCTTACTTCAAATCTAAATCAAAGTTCAAAATTTCCTAAAAAAGAAAAAGGAAAATAGGAGGGTCAGGTAAAATCTGGGACAAATTGGGATTAGGAATCCAATTCCTGTTAGGTTTAGGCGTTTTTAAGGCTCGATTTCCCTATTTAAGCCCATAAAAAGTAGTTGCCGGTATCACTTCTTTTTCCCTAACGACCCCTAATAATATATCCCAGCATATATAATTGTTTCAAGTTGAGGATGAAACAACATCAATAGCAGAGCCCAATGGCCAAGCTGCTTCAACAAGGTGATCTTTGTAATTAACTTTATGCACCATTGTGATCTTTTGGTAAGGATTAATGCACGTTCATCAACAACAAGAAGTTAAGAAGCAGAAGGGAGTGTAAAATACATAATTCATTTATTTATTTTTAAAGGGAGTGTAAAGTCAAAAGTGGACAACTAAAAGTGAACGGAGAGAGTAAATTTTATGACAAGGATAAATCATTAGAGGATGAATTTGAGTGAAATCTAGTTTGAAGGGCATTAAGGAGGGTTGTTAATTAGGCACTAATGAAGAGGTGAAATAGTGGCTATGAGTAGTTATGAGTCTTATAACACTAGAATGGTGTTTATAACCTACGATTGGAGGAAATGATTAGGGTGAGTCAAGATTTTACTCTAAGCTAGGAATTTGGATTTTGGTGACCTAGGGCCATATCGAATATGATGAATTGAGTAGTATATGAGTTGAAGTTTTAGTTAATGCAGATTGGTATCATGGGACTACTTTGGAGAGCTAACTAATTAAGGGTCAAGTTGAGGTAAATTGAGATTAACCTCCTTTAAGGCATTATTATAATGAATGACTTCAAGTTTATGAAAAATGTTTAAAATATTAGTGTGAATTTAATTTGTAGGTATGAGCGTGCCACACTTCCATATTTTAAATGAATTATTCTATCTTTTGAGTTATGTACATACATATGCTTATTTGGCTAAGTTATGCCTTAAAATTAACTAACTATGTGAGGTGGTGGAGAAATTGAAGCATACTGTAATTTGAAAACAGGTGGTTTGGTTGAAACCTCCCATTGGGGAAGTAAAACTTAACACCGATGGAATCTTCGTAAATGAAAATGGGAAAGCAGGGATTGGAGGTATAGTGAGAGATGGGAATGGGGAGCTCATTTTTGTATACTCTATACCTGTAAGATGCAGCAACAATAATTATGCAGAAGCTCTAGCAGTGAACTATGGAGGAAGATGGTGCGTGCAACATGGATACAATGTCCTATCTTTTGAAATTGACTCTTTAATGGTTGCCAACATGCTCAAAGACAAAGTCACCAACAACATGAAGCTGAGATCTCTTATAGAAGATACATCACAGATTTTTAACCAAGCTACAATCAAAATTGCTCACTGCTACAGAGAAGCGAACCAGGTAGCAGATGGATTGGCTAAGTTAGTGACTATACACGAAGAAGGATCCTTCTATCACACATTTCAGCAACTTCCAGAAATGGTAAAGGGGCCATTTCAACTTGATAAATGTCAAATGCCGAGTATAAGATTGAGGTACGACAAGGCTAATTTCTTTATCAGTTAATCTTCCTTTGTATTTAGAATATGGAGGCAAGTTGTGTAGAGATGCCTCATGGTTTTTGTGTAGTGTTGTATTCAGAGGTTACTGGCCAAGTCCCCCTCTGTTTTGTATCTTTTGCTGTCATATATACAACACACTATGACAATCCTGTAATTTTGGCTGAAAAACAAAATAGTTTACCATGTGTGTTTAAGTGATTTATGACTATTTTATGAATATGATGAATACGTTTATGTTAAGATTCATGTCTCCATGATTTGCTTGCTTTTAAATATATGATTTGATTTCAAGTTCAAATATTAGAGTTTAAGCTTTATATGTAAAGTTGCCTTAAACTATTCATGCGCTAATTATAAAAAAGTTTTACTGTTCAAAGGACCTAAAATGATCGAGTGTTTAAGTTGGACGATTTTGGAAGAGCTTTCGAAACTCAAAGGATGTTCATTTCCTTTGGTGGGAATGTCTATCTAGAAACTAACTAGTGTAGGGGAGTAGTTAATCTATTTTTAAATGGCGGCTACTCATACCAACCGGAAAAGAAAATATTCTTCGGTGTTAGCACACTACGTCGAAACCATACAACACTATGGTTGAACGGCTATTATACGCTGATCAAACAACGATCAGATAGCCATTATGTACACATGGTAAACATGTTGATGTCAGTATCTATAGGGGCTACTCAGTTAAACTAAAAATTTGATTAGTTATGAAAATGGCCAAAAGGCACAGTTTTGAGCTTAAAACTGCTTTATGTTTTACATACATGATTTATGAATCGTTTATGATGCTTTTAATGCTTATAATATTCACATATAGTAGTTTTTATGCAATATTTTATGATATTTTGCTATTGTTGCAGTATCCGTCCATTTGTTTAGTTTGGTGACCCCACTTCTACCATCTGTGGAGCTACTTTAGTTTATATATTTGTTCTTTTTAGAGCCAACAGACATATCTCGTGCCTTATGTGATACTCTGTGTAGATGTATGTATACTTGTTGATTATTATTTTTGTTCTTATATTTATGGTTATGACACATTTTTAATATTATAATTTGGCAATGTAGCCTAATTTATGATTTCCACTATGCTGAGGCTACTAAGACATAATTAAAATATATTTTGCCAAAACTTGTGGCATTTTGATTCGTTTTGGTATCATTGCAAAAATTGAACCGACTTTAAAATTATATCGGAATCCTATTACCCAAAAAAAGGAGATTGAAAGGAAAAAAAAATTCTAAAAGTCATAATTTCCTTTTCCTATTTCCTGCTCAACAGAAAAGATTGCAAGGTAAGAAACATTAAATCTTTGTGTTGATATTATTATCTCTCTCAAGGATTAACCTTGAGACGTTCATTAGCTTGTAAACGAAAAGCTGGTGCAAAGCTAACAAACCAGGGCAAATTTGGTCATTTGGCACACCGAGAACCCTAGAAGCAAAAAAAGATAAAGTATTAGATAAAACAATATCTAAAACAGAGGACAAGTGGAAGATAAAACATAAATTAATAAGACTAAAACATGCAACAATATAAACTAATTGGCAGACCTGGATATGTGAGCAATTGAGTACAATTCTCTGTTGTTCCCAAACAGATGTTCCCCTTTCTCACCATTTCAGCAAACATACACCCAACAGCCCAGATATCAATAGGAGTGGAGTAACTTGGAGCATGAAGTAGTTGCTAGGGTGCTGTATACTCATATGTACATTCCTGGGAATTGAGGATATATTATGATAAGTTCAACTAGTATGAGATGAAGATGTTTCATCAAAGGTACTTTGATTTGAATGTTAAGAAAATTGTGACTTCTTGGTTATCAAGAAGAAAATTCTGACTTCTTTTGTGTTATGATGACAATTGTGACTTCTTTTGTGTTATGATGACATTTCAGACGGATCTGGTACCAACGAAGTTGAACCAAGAGAAATTAATCTTTAGGGAATGCAATGAAATTGACACTACCTTTTAGGAGTTCCAATAAGCTAGGATCTTAAAAACATATACATAAAACTGGAGAGCCAATAATTAAGGGGGTGATAATTGTATCACTCTTCTAAAAGTGAGATTTCATCAACTCAAACGAGATGGTGTAGCATTGAAAGAGCATGTCAATAAGCTAAAAGCAAAGTATTACTATTTGCCTCTTTGTTCTCATCTGCAACTTTTTTCTCCAAGACGCACTCAGATAATCTAGTTAGTCCTTCACACCTAATTTTTACTAGATCATGGAAAATCACTATTTAGATGTTCAGTCGGAATAAACTTGCAATGTATAAGGTCAGCAATGGAAACTAATACTCATACTGAAACACGAAATATTCATGTAGATGTTGCATATATAAGACCTCATATGAAAATGAGATATTAATGCACAGTCTAGAAACTTTTGGAGTTTGAGTCGAGCACAAAACAAAGGCAGGTTTCTACACTTAGCTTTAATTTTTCTGCTGTAGCTGCAATTAGACACAAACTTATAATGTTTGCAGTTTATTGCTCCGACCGTCATGGAGGGATTAGAAGCTCAATACTGCATACCATTCAGCAGCAAGTTCTCTCACTATTATTAGAATCAAACAAAGCCAGGCGAAAATTACAAGTATATTATAGGAGGACAATAGCCCAAGGATAACAGGTGTAAGCAAAGAAAAGAAGGGGAAACCAGACAAACATAAATAGTACTGGAGTGCAACCTGCCCATTACAAATGATTCACACAATACAATCATATAAATTTGCCATAATAGAAAATGTGCCTTAAGAGACTTGATCCGGACCTATTAGTAGGCCATGATACTTGGTGAGTTGCAAACCTTTACGGCATGCAAAAAACTAGTAAAGAAACCATTTTAAAAGATTTTCTTTCTTCTTGATAGCTCCAAAACCTTCAGAATTATTTAAACCCCGTATATTTCTTTAGTTAAAATCTTTTGCATCATTTTGCATAATGTGAAAAGCAATTGATATCTTAACTTCTTTTTTTAAAGCGAGATAAGAGAAAACGAAGAATAAGACAACTTGGACCAAGAGAGGCCATAAATAGAAAAAGCATTAGTACAGAAGATTGATACCGTATGAGTATAACCTTCTTTCTCTGCTCCTGTATATCGTGACAAACTAAAATCAGCAATCTTGACGGTGTATATCGACGCCGAACCGAACTCATCCATATTTTTCTTTACCAGCACATTAGTTGGACAAAAATCACGATGAATGATCTTGGAAACATGAAGATAGTTGAGGCCACTCAACAAGCCATGCATAATCCCCTACACAAGAACATAAAAGAAGATCGTCAAAAAAAATTTAAAAGAAAAGAATAATGAAACACCCAATGAACATATTGACCCCACACTAAACACCAGCCTCTTAACTCATTTGAAGATTCACAAAACTTTATCTTAAATACCAAATTTTTTGCATTAATATGTGAACTTCCATTATCAACACGTTTTAGTTTAGATGTACATGTTAGAAAAAGGAGAGGAATTTAGTAATAACAAAACAAAAAAGTTGTGAACCAAAACTTTGTAACTCAAGAGTCAACAAATATACCACACATAACCCAACACTCTCTTCCTCGACTATCTACCCCCGGCTCTCCTTCACAAAAGCTTTCTCTCATATTGTAGTTACCCAATTTCAAAATTGTGAAATGAAAAAGCAATACATAAAAGGAAAAAGAAATTGCATCCCACCTTGATTTGCGATGGAGGGAGGTTCTCGACAAAAATACTAGAAAGATCACAGTCAAGAAATTCAAAAACAAGGTACAAAGTTGTCCCATCTACATGCACATCCAGCCTAGGGGCTAATGTGTAAATATTAATTATTACACAAGTCTTTAATATTTACGAAATAAGTGCTTTCTCTAGTATTTTCTACAAGCTTAGAAGATTTCAAGGACTTTCCTAGCAAATCCATTGGGAACTAGGGTCTTCCAAAGGAAATATCCATACTTCTCTAGATTCTTCTCACAAATGCTAGCATTCCTCCTATGTAAGCTTCCACATGGCATTAATATATGCCAAATAATACCTACGTGGCATGATGATGTGGCGGGTCATGATACTCTCCCCCACTCAATTTTGTGCTGCCCTCAGCACAAAGCATCAACAAATACGTGCGCACCTCGCCTTGGTGTCACCTGAGATCTTTGTCCATTAGCCATGATGATCTATGGAGCGGTTTGCCTTCCCATGTCACAAGGTACTAGTCACCTTTCTTCTTGCCCCGTTTGTACTTTGGAGGCTAGCAATGATGGCCTCGATCCTCCGCCCATCAGATACCTCTCCTTGCTCTTGGCCTGAATCTCCCTATGACTCGACCAAGTCTAACAACTTCTCAAGCATCGGGTCTATGCTTTCACTCCCTATTTGGCTGCCCTCCGTGGTCCCAGGCTTGCTAGCAAACTTGACCCCTCTGCTTGGTGCATCGTCTAATTTCGATAGCTTGCCATCACTTTGTAACTCGCCATCCTCTTCAACTATGTCCGCCCAACTTTTCTTGCTGCCACCATGCTCTATTTTCATGGCACCAAGATAGGCTTTGGAATCCCCTACTTTCGGCTTAGATTCCAAGCGCACATGTGGTCCCTCCTCTATCACCCTTGTGTGCCTGAGCAAAGTTCCTGATCATTACTGCAAGCTTCCCCAACTTTGGGCATTCACTTGCGCGATGTGATCATTTATAGAAGTAGCACCCTCCCTTAGGCACGTACTCACTACCATTTTCCGACCCCTTGCCGTTTCTCTTGGACCCTTGTGCGTTATGGGATGGCCCCTTGCCATTGTCCTTCTATACCTCAACTATGCCTTTCCCGTTGTCCTTGTCATGATCTCCCCCACATCTCTCGGCGTTGCCTTCTTTGGACTTGGCAGGATCCATCTTGAAGTCAACGAGTGACTCAGCTACCGCTATGGCCTCGTCCAAGTTAGCTACTTGATGTCTTCTTAACTCTTTTTTGCCCATTTTTGCAACCCATCCATGAAGTAGAAGAAGGAATCCACCTCGGATAATGATGGGATTTGCAGTATTAAGGTAGTGAACTCGCGTACATACTCCCGAATTGTGGCCGTCTATCGGAGCTCCCTTAGTTTCCTCCTTCTTCAACTCCTTCTTGAACTACTCCTACGTCTCAATCTTGCATAGCCCCTTCTCCATATCAGTATACTTTCGACGCCACCATTACGCGGCAACCTTGGTCCAGTACATTGAGGTGTTGCGTACCTTAACAACTTCGTCATCCTTGTTGACTACCTCTGTCACGACCCAATTTCTCCTATAGGCCGTGATGGCGCCCAACGCTACCGCTAGGTAAGCCAATAGTGAACTAACCACATAATTGTTTCCTTTAACATTTTTAAAATAGCTGATTTTAATTAGTGCATAAATATGAGGTAAAAATGTAATGCGATGTGAGAAAAATAATTTTAAGAGCAAATGAAATAAGTAAATATCAAAAAAAAAGTCATCATGTGTCTACTAGCATAATTTCTAAGACCTGGTGTCAGAAGTGTATGACACCATGAGAGTATTGGAATTGTTTACCTCACTCGCGAAAAATACTTGCGACGCGAGTGAACATAGGCTTCTCAAAGTTATCATGATATTCTTCCATTCTTTCCAAAAATAAGGAATCTAAACTGGAAACTTTAAATCTTGAAATCCTCAATCTCAGTTCTTATTCAATGCAATTAATAAGCATAATCAAATAACGGTATCAACAAGCATGATATAAACTTATGACTCTCCGGACATCACATGGAATGTAGCTACGCACGGACTCTCGTCACCTAGTGCGTACACAGCTCCCCACACATATAATTTATAACAAAACACACCTACGGGGATGAGTTCCCTCTTACAAGGTTAGAAAAGAGACTTACCTCGTCTCAAAGCTTACTTCTCGATCCACAAATGTGCTTTAAACCCTCAACTCGGTGCCAAACGATTCGAAACTAGTCAAATATTATATAAAACAATCAATACATGTTCAAAAGTTCATATCCTAACTATTAAAGTGATTTCCCAACCCTAATTCAAGAATTCCTAAAATTCACCCCTGGGCCCACGTGCCTAAATTCCAGAACTTTTTGAAGAAAGTTGTTACCCATAACCTCATGAACTCAAATATATAATTTTCACTAAATTCTATAACTATTTTCGTGGTTAAATCCCATTTTTTATCAAAACCTAGATTTTTCATCTAAACCCATGATTTTCACAAATATACATGTTAAAATCTACCCACAATCTATGTATTAAACTCACATTAGGTACAACTTACTTACCTTCAAAAGCTAGGTTAAAATCCCCCTCTTTAAAGCTCAAAAATTGCCCTAGAGATGAAAGAAAATGAGCCAAAATAACCTAAGACCCGTTTTTAAAAGATGTTTCTGGCCAGTGGTCCTTATACGCGATCGCGGCCAAGCTCTCGCGATCGCGAAGGCTAAACTTAGGAGCCCAGGAAAAAGGCTCTACGCGAACGCGAGAGGACCCATGCAAACGCGGTGCACTAGGCCGCCTACTCCTCGCGAACGCGGGGCCCAACACGTGAACGCGTAAGGCAACTGGATTGCCCAGGCCCAGGCCCAGGCTTCTACGCGAACGCGGCCTGCCCAATGCGAAGAAGAAGGCTAATGGATCCAGGCCTCCACGAATGCGGCCTTGCATACGCGAACGCGAAAGGAAAAAGCCCTCTGTCCCCAAATCCTTCATCGCGAATGCGAGGGTCTTTCCGCGTTCGTGAAGAAGGAAACCAGAACAGAAAATCTGGTATTTTCAACTTAACTCCGGGCGGTCCGAAACACACCCTAGCAACTCGGGGCCCCGTCCAAATGCACCAACAAGTCTATAAACATAATACGGACCTTCTTAAACTCTCTAAATGCGTAAAACAACAACGAAACTAAAAATCGCACCCTAAAACCGAATTGAATCAAAATATGAACTTCAAATTTCCAAATCGCTCCGAATGCGCCGAATCATACTTAGACTACTCAGAAGACCAAATTTTGTGAAAAAATCTTAAATCACCATACGGAACTATTCCCAGGATCGAAATCTTAATTGGACCTCGATAACACCAAATCCAACTTCAAACCAAATTTAAAGAACTTTAAAACCTTCAAAGAGCCAACTTTCACTATTAGGCGCCGAAACGCTCCCGAGTCATCCAAAACCCGATACGAACATATGCCCAAGTCCGAAATTATCATACGAACCTATTGTAACCGTCAAATCCTGATTCCGATGCCGTTTACGCAAAATGTTGACCAAAGTCAAACTTAGCCATTTTTGCCAACCTTAAGGAACCAAGTGTTCTGATTTCAACCCGAACCCTTCCAAATCTCGAACTAATCATACTCGCAAGCCATAAAGCAGTAAAAACAAATACGGGGAGTCTTATTTAGGGAAACGAGATTCTTAAAAGTAAAATGACCGGTCGAGTCGTTACATTCTCCACCTCATAAACAAACGTTCGTCCTCGAAAGGGTCTAGAATCATACCCGAAGTGCTGAATAAGTTTGGATATCTTCTTCGCATGTCCTCCTCGGACTCCCAAGTCCCCTCCTTGACTAGTTGGCCCCTCCGCTGAACTTTTACCATGAAAATCCTCTTGGACCTCAATTGGCGAACCTGCCTATCAACAATGGCAACTGGCTCCTCCTCATAACCCAAGCTCTCATTAAACTGAATTGTGCTGAAGTCTAATACATGTGACCTGTCGGCATGATACCTCCAGAGCATACAAGTGGAAAACCGGATGAACTTGTAACACTCCTCAAATCTATAAAAGTTTCAAGATACGCTAAATATATAATTTAATTTTTATAATCTTAAATTATACTTATATTACGGATTTAAACCCTTGTGATTGATTTTTGAATTACTTCTCTATTTATAAATAATTGGATATACAATTAGGAAAAATATTAATAATTATAATATTATTAATTATTAAAAGTAGGTATAATTAAGCATTAGTAAAAAAAAGGAAAAAAAAAGGAAAACCAAGAAAAGAGAGCACGTGAAAGACCTTAGCCCATAAAGGGTTGTGGAAGGCAAAAGTATTAAAACAGGGTTTATACAAAGAAACAGAACAAGCGTATGTTCACGCACAAAACACAGAATTGTGAAACAGAGCCTTGCTGCTCAGTACTCACACAGGCAAAGGGAAATTTAGGTTTCATTACAAATTACTAATTCTTGGACTCAGGTATATAAAATTCCCTCTTGTCAATTATCCTACAATAGTAGTAGGTAAGAATTGAATAGTTAATTCCATTTTTCCTTTGTATCAACAGTAAGTTCAATGTTTAGGTGTGAAAATTTTAAATTAATTAAAATGCACTGGTTATTGTAGAATCGATTGTTTGACATGTATAAATTGGACCGGGGTCTACGTATTGGCTCGAGGAGTTTTGAGGTGAGTTGATATAACTCTTTATTAAAGTGGTTTAACTCACAAAAGCACGCATATAAAGTGTTTGATGAATTGCTTAAAAGAGTTACTATGTACTTAATCGGTGCGAGTGAGTACTTATTAATTTAGAGTTATTCTAGCTAAAGTTTAGATGATTTATTATGATATATATGCAAAAATGTTCAGATTTTTGTGTTATTCTTATATGCCATTTTCATGTTGAAAATTCATGAAGAACCAAGAATCTTTAGAAATACTTTTGAATGTTTATTTCATTCTCATGCCATACTTACATGTAAGGATACCAGTATGAGTATGTATTGGATGTTCCAGAAAAGATTTAGACTTGAAAAGTTACAAGAAAAAGTTTTAGAAATAAATTTTTTTGGGAGTATCCTCTATTCTGAGAAGGGGTCATCGTCCAAGCCGAGGGTCCTGATCAAGACGTTGACTTCCTGAAACTACTTGTGCCAATGTAGGGAGCACACGAGTCGAGGGTCTCGTTGCTGAGAATTTACCTAGCCATCTAAGGTATGACACATGAGCGCTGAGAATCATGAAGTGAGTGGCACCTCGTGGATTGGGCCTATTCGATCAGGTTGGGATCGAACTCGTGCCGATCACACGTTGACTGAGACAGAATAACAGAAGGATAGTTGGAATTATCGAAGTATAAAGTGAAGTATTTTTTTTATAAGAAAGAAGAAGAAAAGAATTTCTTTTAGAATATTCATAAACTGCTA